TTAGAAAGTATTCATACATACATACATATAGAGTATATCACTTATATATGTATGTTACCACTTGTTGATGCTACCAACGCTTACAATGATGATCATGTTAATGATCATGGTATTGTTTTTGTTGCTGTTATTGCTTTCTCGTTGCTGTTGTTGTAATTATTGTTTTTCTTTACCATTAACCATAACCACACCCATTAATATATAAAAGCATTTAACAGCCACTTTATTACACCGTTTCACATTCAATATCTGTTTAAATGATGATGGCACTGTGATCACTGATCAGTGCCCCTGCTCTCTTTAGAAAACCTTTAACAAAACAAAAGAATCGTTAATTTAATGAATTCACTTTAAACTAGAAAATTTATAATTTAAATTATACAAATCATAGAGAAAGTTTTGTTGATTAGGAGGCTTTAACCATGAGAAAATTTGTCAAAATTTAATAATTAAAAATAAATTTGAAAAAGCGTTGTAATTAAAATAAATCATTTTTTAATACACTTAATTTCATCCTTATGTACATAAGTACAAAAAAAGGAAAATGTAACCATAAATTTGATAATATTAAAAGCTAAAGACAGGAAACCATCAATGTCATTAAATTTAAATAAAAATACTTGAAAATGTATACCAGCTTTACGATCTGCTAAAGGCAACATACTACACATATCACACTTATATATGGTCAACAAAAAAAAAAATCTAAAAAAAATGATGGCAAATAACTAAAGTTGTCTGTGATAAATTGAGAGATAAATACAGCTTCATATCACACATAGAAGTAGTTAGTAAAGCAGCGGACAGAGAGAGAGAGACTAGAATTTATTAAAAATGTATGTGACATTTGTAGTTCATTAATAAAAATTACACGTATGTAACACTTAATGAGGCGACCATAATAAATTTTACAATTTTATTGCAACAAAAAAATGGCCAGAGCTTTCAACAAATAAACACACACTCACTTACACGCCATAATAAAAAACAATTAAAACGATAAGAGAAAACTTGAGACGAATAAAGTTTTTGAATTGCAAAATGCAAACGTTACAGGAACAGAAAACTATGCGTACTGGTAATTAAGAAAGAAAAAAAAAAAACTAAGAAAAATATAAAAAAGTAATAGACAAAGTAAATAAACTACAAAACTAATGGCAAAACATTCCACGATTTGCTGCTTGAAACTATAAATTTACAAGTGACAGCTAAACCAAAGTTTGGGGCATTAGTTTTCAATTTTATTTCTCACACCAAGTGTTTGAAATTCAATATTTAAAAAATAAATTGTATCACAAATTTCGGAAACCTTAATGTCTGAATTTCAAAATTTCTAATAATTATCGTTGGCTAGTTAGATTCTTTCATTAATTTCTTAATTATTATTGGTTTTAAGTTCAAGCTAACTGAAATAAAATAATGAATACATTTAGACTTTAAACTGACATATAACAAGTTTAAGCTTATTTACTTACATGTAAGTAACCTCCTCACTGCCCAGTTTGGCCAATAAATATCAATACTACTGCCACAGTAGACTGGTACATAAAATTTTTGGTTAAAATGTTTTAAAATTTCTTTTTTTTTTGTGTAAAGTTATGTAAAACTATAACTTTTAAAGGAATTTTTTTCAATGTGAAAACATATTTTTGTTTTGTTTTTGCCAGTCCATGCTAATGTAAATTTTTGTGTAAAATAAAAATATCTTTATTAAATTTCATTTAATATTTATTTATTTGTTAAATTTTGATTATTGTCAATGATGCAGTAGAGTTGCAGTGGTAGTTGTTTTGGTGTATGTTGTAAAGTTGTCTATTGCTGTTGTGTGTGTGTTAGTGGCTTAAAATAATTACGCAAATCTTAAAGGTGATAGACCTCTGGGAGGCTTAAATATTTCATATTTTAAATTTCATGCAATTTTCTATAATGTTTTTTACATACTTAGACACACACACAAACATACGTGCAGTTACTACCCTGCAGTTCGGGTGAACGTCCCCGAATAGGGGTTTTAATTGTGATTTATTATTCAAGTGGAGAAATGTCTTTGTAATAGACTAATTCTGTTGGATTAAATAACTAAAGTGTTGAAAAATATTGAAAGTATCTACTCCCTACATTACTTGGAGACACTCAAGTGTAGTGTTTGATTTTCTCTCTTTGTAGTTAGACAATCGAATGAAAATGCTCTGTATAAAGGATACATAGACTACTCATAAAACTGTGGGGTATATACATTTGTCTACACCTGCCTTTGTTGTTGTTGCAATTGTAGTTAATGTTTTTTAAGCCAAAGAGGTCATGTTATTATGATGAGAGCAACAAAGTCTATTATTTTGTATGTTTTTTATTTCTTTAATTTAAACCTAATGACGTTGATGTTGATGATCGTTATACAGAATACAGAAAAAGAAATGTTTAATAAATTATTAAATAATAAATATAATTTACCATAATATATATATAAATAATACTGAGAGGATGTTTAACATAAAAATTTTACAATAAGTGTTTTTAATTAAAATAAACTAAATGATTAGAAATTTATGACAAGGAAGTAGAAATGGTGTTACTTGGTCATATTTATGTTTCCTAAATGTCTTGTTTTAATTATAAAACTAAGCTCCAAGACATTCTTTCGGTTGTTATAGTGACATTAGACATAAAATAGTCGAACAAACAGAATTTAGTACAGTATATTTGTTTTATGTTACTAAACACCTTCTAAGATTAAAAAGTTAACATTTTTGCTGTGTGTGTGTCTGTGTTTTTTTCCCCAAAAACAGTACGAATTGAATATATGTATCAGATGGCTATAATCTATTTTCAATATTCTTAAACAATTTGAAATTTATAGCCTTAGATAGTCCAACAACACAGACACATATCATACATAGACACACTCCAACATTCACGCATACTTAACGATATTAAATCTCTCACCAACAACAACAACAATTCCTTTGAAAATATTGTTGAAAAAATAACAAAGTATTGTTCATGCTAGAAAATCGTAATAGTAACAAAAAAAGAATTTAAATAAAAGATGCGTGTCGGATCATTTACTACTCCCGATCGCTCTCGATTGCATGAGGCTATAAATTCCAAATGTTCAAATTTCGCTTAAGCTAGAGAAAAAACTACAATAATAACAACAACAATAGCAAACATATGTTTGTTACAGGCAGGCAGGATGTATGGGCTGGTTGTTGGTTGTCTGGTGAAACAAAGCTTCCGTAGCTTAACTAAAATCTTTTATATATTTCTTTTCTTCTTAACGATCGATTATAGATTGTGGCAGCATTAGCATTTTTACCGTTAACTTACATTCAACACACATACACACAGCACATGTTGAGATTTCTTTTCGTTTGTATTAGTACTTGCGTTTGTATATTTAAACTTCAGCCGCCGCAATACATCAATTGTTTAGCAAGAAAATATCTAAAATATGTAAAATATCTGGAAAATTTATAGCTTGTGAAGTATAACATTAATTTTCCCCAATGTTGGATTTAGTATCTTTACGCTTTCCATGTTAAATAAAATTCACACTTGTTTAAAGTTAAAAAACGGAAAGAAAAGGAATTACTATGTATGCAGCAACAACGTCTCTTTTAAACGCTTCATTAGCAATTCTCCCGGTGTTATTACAGCTAAAAATAAACTAAATATAAGAAAATTCTATAATAAACATAGTAGTAGAGGCGTTGGTGTTGCCCAGATTAAAAAGCGCACAAAGTATTTTGCACAAAAGAAAAGGCAAAGAAACTGAAATCTACTTTAAGCCAGCTGCAATAAATTTACTTTTCATAAGTATTAAAGAAATTATGATTGCCAGAGCTCTTAAAGCATTGGAAATTTTTAATGATAAGCTTACACGTGAGGCGGCCGGCCAGTCGCTAAAACTAAATAAAAAATAAAAAAAAGCGGAAAAAGAAGCAAATACATAATAATTGTTGGCATGTCATCTGCAGCATCTGTAGCAAGCAACTGTTCTTTCGTTTATTCCCATTCGAAACGATGAAGCCATTTTTAATACACTTGTTGTATACTTTGGCTAATAAACATCTCAAACTGTGTCTTGCTTTTATTCAAGATTTATTGTGGCGTTATGCAGATGGATTAGATTGCTCTCGTTTTATTTCTCTCTACATAATTTTTTACATTTTCATCTTGATCTTCTTCTTTATTTCGCTGGTCTCCTTGATTTTGTTTTTTTTTTCTTTTCTATATAAAAACCTACATTTGCTAATGTTTTGTTTCATTGTTATTGCTGTTATTGTAATTTTATTTAATTGTAATGTCCATGCTACAACTTTGGATGGATGTCTGTTTCTATGTGTGTTTTTTTTTCTTCTTGTTCTTTGACTTTTTTGTTATGTTTTGCAAATAAATGCTTCCACTTGTGCATTTCCGCTTGATAAAACTTTTGTGATGTGGCCAACAGCATAAATGTTAAATGCGGTGAAACGCATCTAATTACAAAGGATTTGAAAGATCAAGACTTGACTTGAAGCAACCAACAACATGTAAAAGCAGACGATACCATCTTCTTCTGATGTTTATGTTTCTTCTTTGTGTCAACAGCAGTGGACTTGACGAAAAAAGAAAATAAATAAAAAAGTGGATAAAACTTTAATTGTAACTGTTGCCACACACACACATACAAACAAACATTTGAACAATGATTTTTGATAGACAGTGATGCAACAGGCATAATGAATAAATGTTATTAAATAAATGTAAAAAAAGCTGACAAAGCAAGCGTTCTTTCATAGAATTTAACTAAGTAAATAACCGATCTAGGAATTACTATAAAACAAGATAGAATTTTAATGAATATATCAAACGTAAACAAAGTATTTCAAAAAAAAAAAAAAACGAAAGACTTAAGAAACAAACTTGCTAACAAACAGTAGCAGAAAGACAATTTATACAAAAAATATGTTTTTATTTTATTAATTTCTAATTAAATCTTTTTATTTATCTTTTTCCAGGGTGCCGAACGTAAAACTCGTGATGAGGAACGTCGTGCTGCTAAGCGTAAAATGACCGCTACGGGACGTAAAAAATTAGACGAACTTTATCATCCGGTTACAGATCGTTCAGAGTTTTATACAATGCAGGATCTTACCAAGCCGCCGGTATTATTTTCACCAGCCGACGATTTGGATAAGGTAAGATTTCCAATGCATTCAAATAGTACTACTAGCACATTGTCTACTACTACTTCCTCCACAACATCTGTTATAATACAACCATCAAATCATACTACTACTACTACCAATACAACTTCTCCACAACATTTAACATCTCTAACCACACAATATCATGACGTGTATCATAATAATAACAATACGTTTGGTAATTCTTCGCAGGGCTTCTATGGCCATGAGTCTGATGGAGCGCCAGATTTAAAAGGTGCCTCACCATTCCTCTTGCATGGACAAAAGGTAGCCACACCAACATTGAAATTTCACAATCACTTTCCGCCCGACATGCAGACGTGAGTATATTGTAAAAATCCACCAAACTAATAAAATAAATTTCCCTGGCAAATCCATGAGCAATTTAAACTAATAAAACGACAAATGTTCTTTTCTTCTATTTCTCTTCTGCTCTTTCTTTAAAATAGTGACAAAAAAGACCATATTTTGGATCAAGGTTTAGCCATGGGTGAATTTGGACCTCCTTTGAAGCGTGGCCGCATGACACCGCCCACCAGCGAACGGGTTATGTTGTATGTGAGACAAGAAAATGAAGATGTTTACACCCCCCTACATGTTGTGCCACCCACCACCATCGGCCTCTTAAATGCGGTAAGTGTTTAAATAAAACCCTACCTCCCTCCTCCCCTATTAAATTCCCCCCACTTTTCCTACAAATCCTAAAATTCATTAATAGTTTGGCAGTATAAAAACAAAACCAAAAACAAACACAAAAACTCATAACTTTATACCAAAGAATAAAAATCAATAAATTATTTGTATTAATTCAATTAAAACAAAAACAAATCATCGCCAATTAATAATAATACTTAATCAATATGCAAGAAAAGGTTTTCGTTTACAACAATTAACATTTGTTACAATCATTTTGGTTACGAATTGGCCAGCGTATTAAAAAAAAAATAAATAAAATAAATTCTTATTTGTAACACTTACAAAAAGCCAAAATGTTTGAACGATTTCTCTCATTTATTAAAACAACAAAAATAATCAAAAACCAAAGAACTAAAAATTATCCTTTAACCAGGGTCTCATTTTCTATGTTACTTATCTAAAACTTAATCTATTGTAACCAACCAAATTAATATAAATTAAATCATTATAAAACAAACACTTTTCACATCATCATAATCACCAATCAACAAGATCTTTAAATGTTTTTTTTTTTTTTTTTTTTCTAAAACGCCATTGATATTTGCAACAAAAGTGTTTAGGTAATTACATAACAGCAACCATAATGGTTTTAAGAAATAATTTTAAAAAGATACTAATTTTAATTTAAGAAGAGAAAACACCTTAAGAACCTCAAGCACTTGTTATTTGAATCAGTGATCGTCACCAAAGCAAGAAAAGTAGAGAAAATTACACAAATATGTGCTGCTCACTCTCTCATAACTACCCTATACACACTCTCTACCCTTTTGTATTCGCTGTTGTATGAAATAATTATAAAAGAATATTTAAACAAAAACAATTTTAAAATAAATGTTACTAAATACATACTTACCACTCGTTGCAGTTGTTGGCAAATATTAAATTTAATTTTGTTAATTATTAAAAATTGTATTTGTTAATTTTACATCAATCAACTGTAAACACACCTCGTATACCATTACGTTTACAAGTGAGTACTTGTACAAGAGATTAAAAACAAAAACAAAAAATTAACATTAATAAGTTAATAAAATTATTATTATCACGTTGTATTTTGATCATTTATCTATGTCTCTCATTCACTTTTACACTTACACACACACAAACAGTTACATACGATGTGTGGACACTTGTGATTAATTCATTTTAAAAAAATATAGCAACAACAACAACAAAAAAAGAACGACAAATTAAACTGTCCATCTAGATTAATAAACATTTAATTTTAATTACTTGTTATTTAAGATTTTGTGAAATTTCTAATGAAAATTAAAAGCGTATTTTAATTTATTTCTTAAAACTTATTTCGTTTTTATTAACACAGAAATGCATACTCAAACATATAAAGTTAATTCTTTTAAAATTGATTTAATATTTTGTTTTTAGAAATTCTAGAAAATATTTTAATATTGTGTGTCAAGTGCATGTTGTATTTTTGATTATATTTTTTTTATAGAATAATTTTATTTTCATTATTTAAACGATCATCATTCTGACACTTTAAAACTATTCAAAAATAGCGATTGAGACAAAACATGATCACTTTATTAAAACAACACTGCAGCTCAAAACATTTAGGGGTTTATTATTAATTAAAAGCTCTTAAAACTAAAGCTCCAAAATAAACTTTTTTTCATACATATTAAACTGTTTTAAATGTTATCAGTAACAGGCAAATTTTTTCTTAAAATATCATTATTATAAACTAATATTTGATAAGTATAGCCTATGTTTCATAAATGTTAATTTATTTAAAAAGTTGCATACTTTTAGGCATAAAGTTTAGTTGTTCTAAAATATTGCTAGAATTTGTTGAGATGTTTTCCATTATTATTTAAATATTAAGAGCTGTTTATAAACCCTTAAGTTTAAACATATTACACTAGTTTTGAAAACAATTTTACTCCATAAAACAAACACAAATTGGCCAGTAGGGGAACCTAAAATATAAATTGGTTTAAAAAAACAATAAAATTATGAGTTTTTGTTAAAAAATTATAAATGTTTTTATTATTGTTAAACTATTTTTGCAATAAAATATTAAAAAAAAAAGAAATGAAACTTCAAACAAAATTTACAAACAACATAAAAAACACTTAAAAATACAAAACGCATCATCAATTTTTGTTTTTCTTTCTCTCATTTTCTCAATTGCAGATTGAAAATAAATATAAAATATCCACAACGAGTATAAATAATATTTATCGAACAAATAAAAAGGGGTAAGTAACACAACTAACTACAATAACTAATTAAGTCTTAACAACTAATGATAATTAATAAAAATAATAACTAAAAACAACAGTTTTTGTAATTTATAACAACAAAATTTAAAAAAATGGTTAGAGGGCTTAAATAAGGAATTAATAACAAAAAACTCTAAAAAAAAGTAGTTAGAAAATGCATGTTTTGAAAACGGGGATTCATTTGTCATCATAGTAAACGTTTTACACAAAAAAACAATTTAATTAGCAACAAAAACACTCTTTCTCTCTCTTTTTTTTTTTTGGAAGACCCATACAAGTTTTGCAACAAATAAAAAAGAAATTCCCTTTTGAACAACAAAAAATATGAATTTTAACTTAAAATAATAAAATTTATTTAATAATTTTATTTCTCTATTTTGTTTTTTAGGATTACGGCGAAAATTGATGATGACATGATTTCGTATTATTGCAACGAAGACATTTTCTTATTGGAGGTGCAACAACTGGAGGAGGAATTGTATGATATAACGTTAACAGAATTGCCAAACCACTGATGGCAAAACAATACGCCCACTCCTCCCACCAACACCCCCTCCCTTTAAGAGACTTGTTGAAACAGCATTTCTTTTTTTCATTAAAATAATAAACGATGAGTAAAAGAAAAAGGAAACTATCTGAATTTTATCTAAAGGATGAGATGGATGATATTATTCTTTTGTGTATATAGCCATAAAAATAGTTGTAATAACAATAATAATTAATAATGTTAACACTTTAATTAACAACAACAAATCAACGTTTGATTAACAAATAAATGTACAACAACAATTGGAGAGAAGCAGCAGCAACAGCAGCCGCATGCTTAAAACAGTTAGACCTACAAATACTGATGGACTCAAAGTTAAATGCACAAATAATCTAAAGGTTACAATAACTACAATAAAAACAACAACAACAACATCATCAAATAAATTATATAAACAATATATATATAAATAAACAATATGTAGTTAGTAAGTAAAATTAATTAAAACATTAAACAAAATATTTATAAATGAGATTTTTTTATTACTTATTATTATTATTATATGATTATATAACTTTAATGTTTTATTTTTTAATTTTTTTTTAAATATTATTGTCTACAATTTAAAACGAACAAAAAGTGAACAATTTTAAATTAAATTTAAACAAAATGCTCCATAAGAAAAATACTTATTTACATACACGCATTTAAAGTGTATGACGTTTATTTTTTTTTTTATTTAAATATTTTTGTAATGACCCATTCTATAAGTGCCAATAGTATCATGATTCATATACAAAACTACTTATTTAAACTTAAAACCAACAAAGAAACAAATGCTCTTTTGCTATTAAATATATTATTTGAGAAATTTGTAAATTAAAATTAAAATTTCAATACTTTTCAAAAGTACTGCTCAGTCTATTTGCTTAAAAAGGGACCCCAATCTTAAATAATAAAAGGTCATCATTAAGTCCTTTATATAACTTTAAAATTTGTAACTTTCGACTGGGTTAGTAAGCGAACAATAAAATACTCTTAATTTTTATTTTACTTTAAATATAATTTTTATTATAAAATAGTTGCTAATGAAAAAAAATTGTTATTGTTTTATAAAAAATGTTGTTTAAGATTAAAAAAAAATATGTTTTTCTTAAAGATTCAATACGATAAGATTGCGTTGAATTTTGCTAAGAGTAAGAGGTTTTCTTTTTTAAACTCTATTACTCCCTTCTAAATACTAACTTTAACTATTTAATATAAACTACGATATAGATCAAACTTAGTTATTAAACCCTTTTTATAAGCGTTTTTTCAATCTGTGTTTCTTTTTTTTATTATTTTTAACTTTATGCAAAATAAAACATTTTTTTAAACATAAAAAAAAACAAAATTATTTTTTATCTTAAAACTGGCTCTTGTCTTTTTTTCTTTTTCAACCACAAAAATATAAGATCTCAATTTTAAATTGAACTCTCTCTTTAACTCTTCCATGAAAAAAAAACATAAAGTCTTAGTTAAACATAAAAACTTACAAAAAAAAAAAAAACAAAATAATTTAAATAAATCATTTAAGAGAAATGCAATAATACTACTAAATAATTAAAGCAACAATTAAACATAATTAAGTTTTATTCAATCAACATAAAGAAATTAAAAACCTTAAAAGTGCATTTGTTGTTAAAAACACAAATTGAAATAAACAATAAAAAAATTCTCATAAATATTATAAAATTTAAATAAAATCTCGTATTAAAAACGAGACAAAATGAATATAAAAACAAACATTCCTTAATAACAACAACAAAAACTTTGTAAATAATTAATTTATATTTTAAATTAAATTTAAACTTTTTTTTAAAAAAACTTCCATAATTTTTGTGAAAAATTTTAAACATTTCAACGGCTTCCCCATTTTCATAGAAAAATTTTTCTTTTTCAATTTAAGTAACTTTTATGCAAAAAACAAATATATTTTTTAAAATTTTATTTTGTACATTTTATTTTCTTTTTATTAATTTAATTCAAGTAGTTGTATTTTTGCGTTTATTAAGTAATTTTTTTTATTAATTTTAAATTTAAATAAGAATACAAAACTCTTGCCGTTTATTTAAAACTTTAATTTTTTAATATTTTATACTTTACATATATAAAATAATAAAGAATATTTTTAATTTAAAACAAAAATATGTAATTTACAAAAAGTTATTTTGAAAACATAACATTTTTTTACTTTCCCCTTTTTGTTATTTTATTTTTTTTTTAGTTTTAGATTTTCTTTTATTTTTTCGTTTTTTATTTAATAATTTTTCTTTTTTCTTTTCAATAACCTTTAAGTTTAAATTGTAACTTAATTTTAAAAAGAATTTTTTTATACAAAATAGAAAAACAAAAACTAAGATCAATTAGCAACAGACAAAAAAAAACATATATTCATAAATATATACATATACACAAACAAATACATTAATAAATATATTTTATTATATTTTTAAATAAACTATTGTAGAATAAATGTTTTTTTATACAAAGTAAATTTTGAAAATTGTTCTTATTTCTTAATAAAAACCAAACTAAATATGTTTTGGCACTTGAGATATTCTCCTAAAAATTAGAAAAGGTAGGTAATGTATATGTATATACTCCCAAAAATAGGCAACAGAATTTGATTCCTATTAAATTGTTCAGTTCGTCAATATACAATATATATTTAGAACATTTTGGCGACATCTTTAAATTTTCCAAACAGAATGATTTTACCTATTCCACTCGTTGTCAATGTTTTTCCTGAAATTATGAAATTTCATATAAAACGCTATTAAATACACACTCTCATCAACTGTGGCCAATTAAAATTATTTTTGTCATTTGGCCCATAGCAATAAAATAATGACAGACAGCATCCCAGTTACATGAATGGGAGAGAAAGAAAGAAAAAATAAATAAATAATAATAAATACATAAAATAAATACACAATAATTGTTTAACAATTCGCATTTTCAATGACTGTCTGCAATTCGTTGCAAAGATGAATGGCATCATTTGGAATTCAATGAAGTGAAATTGTTGCAAGACAATCAACAAACAGCAACATTAACAAAAAGAAAAACCACCAACAACATAACGTTGTAATAACAACGATTAACTCCCATTGCAGCAGACACTTGGCTGGCTGTCAACTAGCAACGGTCTTTTGAAGTGAACAAAATTTTTAGAATATTTGTGAACTTATATCGTCCTCCATTCACTGTCTGCAAATTATTCAATATAAATAAGGGAAATACCATCACCAACTAATCCAATTCGTTTTGAACTACATTTCTGTTGGATTTTACTTTAAGTGATATTATTTGTAAACACACCTGCAAACATTGTTGGAGTACATTATATATTAAGCTAATCCCCAAACTACTCCCCTGAAAACATTATTGGAGTATGTGTTCTGTTTAGTGGTCCTATGTTTTTGAAAACGACATGGTCCAAAGACTTCATTACATAGGACCATGTTGTGTATCATGTACTGCCATAATTTCAGCAAAGGAATAGTTGTGGGATTAGTCTGATGGAATGCATATATGACTTACGTGATCCTCACCTAGGACAAAGTTAAATGGAACATGTTTTTTTTATATATTTGGATAAGTTTTCCTCTTAGTCCTTTGCGGAGTACTCTTTACACGTTTGTGCCGAGTAGTCTAAATTTTTCCAGGGACATCACAATCTTTCTTTTAGTTTCGGGCTTAGGTTTAGGTTATAAACAATTTAAAAATATATCAAATGTTTTGCTTTAGATTGGACCCTTTTGTCCCATCAAAGGCAAAGTATTACCATAGCGCCATAGATATAAGGCTTTAATATCGATTCGTATTCGGTGTCGGGCTTATCCCTTAGGCTTGGGGTTTTCGTACTGAATGTATTTTTCATCACCAGTAATGATTTTCTTTTATAGTGTTCAAGATCCTTTCATGGTATCTCGGCTTCAAATTGTCTCTGCTTTGGGATGAACTCTGCTATTTGCAAACAGTTTTATAAGGTATTGTTGAGTTGAAGCCTTCATAGAGCAATGTAAATTGTTCGACTTCAAACTTCTTTTGTGATCTTTGTCTCTCTATAAAGAAAAACTTTCCACAGATACGACATCTGTAGTGAATCCCGCATTTTGAAGCTATACATCCCAATATATTACTCCTTTTTCTGAATTTTGGTTACGTTTCCGTTTTCAGTTACGCAGGGATAGAAAAAAAATAATACACCAAAAAACGGAATCTTAAGAAAAAGAAGAAGCATTTTCATTTCGTTTTAACGCTTTACGATTGTGTCTACTCTGCACTACCATCATAGCTACGTTTTTATAAGTTGTTATTTTAGTGACGGAGCGTGGAATTGAAATGCGGTATATCAAAGTTACCAAACGAAGTGAATTTCGAATCGAATTGAAATACAGAATAAGGGTAGCCCCTCAACAGGAGGGCCTAAGGAACAGAAAATTTGTACAAAATTCTATTAGAAATATGCTACTTGACCCTAGCCCTCATATAATATATTATTGTTTTTAATATTGTTCAAAATAGTCAAATTTGAAAAAATATATATTATTGTTCATAACTTTTTCTTTAAATATATTTTTTATATTCGCATGTCAAGTGAGTAATTTTTTAATGTTGGAGTAGAAATTTGAAATAAATAATTGCTGCATTAAACACATACAATTACGCCAAGAAACACGTATAAATTTTGTTTGCAATGTACAGATCGTTCGGATGATTGTCTATTGTTGTTGTTGTTGTCAACGCAATATTATGAAGTATTCGTCTGTAGTTTAAAAAACTTTAAACAATTCGTTATAAGGATCTACAAAAGATCATTAATAAAACATTATGGGAATGGGATGATCATGTTGACGATGACGAAAACAATCAAGCAAACGAACGAACGAATGAATGAATGAGTGAACGTAACCAATCAATCGAATCGATCGAATGAGAAGTTAAAACGTTTCTTCAATCATAATTTAGTTTTATTTAGTATCAGTCACTAACTAAAACATACATCCACACAAATGATGTATTAACGAACGCACGAGCATAAATTCACAAACAATTTAATTCAAAAAGTGGTTTTAAATGAAATAAGAAGTTTGAAAAAATAACTAAATATGTATTTTTAATTGACAAAACAAAAACTTAAAAACAATAGAATTAATACCTTTTCACATCTGTGAGCAATTATTAAAAAGTGCAAGAAATTATCTGTCCCTCCAATTGTAACTGGGCTGGCTGTGGCTGGTTGATTGGTTTGGCTGCAAGTATGAAAGTTTAAATGTATGAATGATTTCTTTTAACAACAGTCACTGGAGAAATATAATCATTATTGGTAAAATTGTTTTTGTTTGCTATTGGAGTTGGAATCATCATTCATTATTTATGAGTTACGTGCTGTAATGCCTGGACTGATAAAAGCTGATCCTTTATAAACAATTTAAATGTGCAAAATCGACATCCGCTAGTTAACTTTTGTTCAAATACTGCTAACAATTATTTGTTCTTTACTTTTATTTTTCCTTTTAAACCACTACAATACTATTTTGTTAAATTGATCTCTAAAGTTATTTTATTGGGGCTTTGCCGATTTACGCAAGAATATGGCTAAAGTTTTGCAAAGTGTATTTATTGAAAATTCACAGACTGTAAGAGTCACGCGATACAATTGAATTGCAAATTGAAAGGAGTTAAAGTCATCATTGCGTTAGATACAATTAATTTATTAATTTCTGTTTCTATTAACAATTATAAAATTCACATACACACACATACACACTTAAAGATGAGTTCGTTGTTTCAGTTCACTAACAATCAGTTGTTTAAGCAGACAACCAGCTGGCCATTGTCATCATTAGTGTTGAAGACCGTGGCGTCAGTGACAGCATATGAAATGCAAGCGACAGACAGGAGGAGAAATAGACAGATCTGCTAACTGGATTTTGCCAAATGATTATGATAACAATCCATAAAGGACTAGTGGGACACATGAAGCCCCCATGCTGTAAGAAGTAATAGGTTAGTGTAAATGTATAGAATAGATCTGGACCGAAATACGGGATTTGCATACGAATTGTATGTATGTATAGTTGATATGTTTAGTTGATTATCTATTGACTATACTATTGATTAGTATCGACGTTTTTATTGATCAGCCTATGGACTAGTCAAAATACTACACAATAAAAAGCACATGGACTACATTTTTATACTAGTTGGTCCATAAACTATCCAATAAAATATAAAAAGGCATAGCAACTAGTTTGTTGGCTAGTCTATAGACTATGTACTATATTAACTAGTTCATCTATAATTAAACTAGTCTATCTACTATATTGACTAGTCAGTAGACATGTCTGATGACTAGCATATGAAAATCATTATGGGAAAAATATCGATTCATCACCCCTTTATGTTTCCTACACGCCGGTAGCAATTGTTGTACATGTTTCTGCCGCTACATGTACAAGCACTTTGCTTAAGTACTCGAGCTATCTAATCTCTGACCATTGCTGTCCCGTTTACACGTTTATCACTTCCGTTTACAACCACACAGATGGGATGGCCTCTGTTGA